GTTGGGAACATGCAATGTATGTTATATTGGGTGTATGCGATTATACAGTAACTCCAATCATTTTACAGAAGGAAAAAACAATGGATTTGTTCTTTGTTGCTTCTGAGGTTGATTTAAAATCTTTGATTTAATTCATGAGAATGAGATTTTAATATCATGACTGATAATGGATTACTATATTTTGCAAAGCCTGGACATACATATAGTTTAATTATATATGAGACAAAAGTTTTGATATATTTGCAAATCTAGGTTTTATTCTATTTGATGTAGGAAACAATATATGTTTTTTGTAGTTTGTTTCATGTGACAAAAATGGTGCCAGTATTAAGACAAGATGGCTGCTATTGTTAAAGTATAGTGGAAAGCAATATTTTGTTGTGACATCTGATATGTGATTAGGTTATACCTCCAGATTATAAAACAGTTTAAAAGGGGGGTATGATTAATAAAAAGTTTGGAAAATTAAAATGTTCATAAAGATTTTAATATAAAGGAAATTTAAAGATTATACATCACATGGCATAAATGTAATGACCACTAGATGGTAGATCCCATGAGAAGAAATTAGTATGTTTTGTGTAGTCAATATAATTCAATGTTAAACTGTATAATAATAATGAGATATAAACATTGTAAGCCATTGTATTGATGCTGCACGTGTTTTTTGTTTTAATGTAGGTAAAGCGTGACAAATCCATGTGGCAATAAATCAGGAAAGCAATCCTTCAGACAACTGGACATCGACTGTTGGAAAGAGACTTCATCTGATCTGCAAACTGTGATGGAAGATTCTACAGACTTACAAAGAAATAAAAGATTGACACTAACCTACATATCAATTCCTAAATATTAACGAAGAAGAAAAGAGACAATGAAAAATTATTTAACAGTTATGAGTGCATTAATACCAAAAGAGAGTACTTAGAAAATTATGAAAGGATAGTATTATGAAGAGAACTATTACATTATGACCTACACATAGGATGAGGAGTATCAGAGGTAGATAAAATATGAAGTTGATAAAATAAGGATCATGGTTACTTAATACTACAAAGATTGAGTGCAATAGTATTTCATAGATTCACCAGAATAAATATTTTGTTTATAATCGAGGTGAAGTGAAACAAACAATGGAAGAAAACTAAGGAAAGATAATTTATATTGATTTATATTAAGTAATTATATACATTAAGAATGCCTTGGATATAAGAGTTCAGAGATCCAAGAGGAATTGAGTTTAGTTAAGAGTATAGTACACAATTATATTTGACCTAAGTCTATAAGAGGTATGGACTAGGGAGAATAGGTTTCTGGATATGACGGTATCCAATGAATATGTTGTTAAGTTGTTTTATGATTTCCCTGAGTTTGTAAGACACAGACTAGGAATAAGAGTTTCTGGGCAGTATGACTCCAAGTGTATTTTATTTTATTTTAGTCAGTTGAAGTGTACTAAGGAATACGGATTGGTCAGAACGAATGTTAAGGTAACATTAGGACAATCCTGCTTTAAAGATGTATTACATTAATAAGTCATCACAATTAAGGTCTAATGAGGAGAGTGATGATAATTAATTTATATTATTCTTTCCAAGTTATTTTAAAGTAAACTATGTTTCTGTTGAATGAAAAGTTTGTTACTACAGGGTGGAATTTTAGAGAAAATTATAATTATGTAAACAAAAACAAATCTATGATAGAAAGATTTCTGGGTGGAGAATTTCTAGAACAATAAGTATTGTCAACACCATGAACATTATTTGAAGAATTATTATAGAACTTCATGGTTGATAACACATCCTTTGAATGAGTCTTATAAGTAATGTTGGTATATTTTAGTTAGTGAGAGCCTACTAAATATTCAAATTAAATACTATGATTGTAAAGTACTGATACAATCATCACTAGATGGTATTAATGGTATAGGAATGTAATTCATGAATACAAATGACCTAAAGAGTTTAAGTTCACTAGAAAACATTTGATTCATGAAAGTATAAGTGGACGTATATTATAGTAATACTGTGGGGATATTTATGGGTTGATAATATTAAGCAGTCGAGAATTGCCCACTATTTCAATTCTCTTAGATCTTAGAGATCGTTATCATGTAAATGAAAAGTATTCCATACAATTAATTCACAATTTGTTATAAAAATAGATTTATTTTTATTGTAACAAATTAATTAACAATATTATTAGGCAACATGCATGATAATAATCAGTGAATATTTAGTATAACATAGTATGCAATACAATGGAATGGGTATACACGTTTCAATGGCTAAACATTTTCTGTCAAGACTTACACGATTTATGAGGGTATCCTTACACAGCAAAAGTAAAGCTTTTCACAGCAAAGAGCCATAAAACCTTGGCTAACAGTTAAGTCAACTGAATAACCCTTTCAATGCTGGCTAGATCCTCCTAGGCATATAGTATCCTATTCTCCTGTGATTTTCAATTAGAATAATATTTAAACCAGCTCATTAGTCATTTCCTGGAACCATCCAATAAGAATAATCTACCAGTTTTTTACAAAAAAAAAACCGAATTTTAATTTGGTTAAAAAGATATCTTATCTTATTTTAGAGCAAATCAATACACCTGGATAAAAACAGCGGTATGCTAACACGTGATACTATCACATTAATATATAATTATTCTTAATTCCACCTGCAGAATGGAATGTTATAACTATATATTCTTTAGTTAACTAAGATTTCTAAATATTGAAATCTGACCGTGATTTATCCAGTCATATATCATGCTATTAGTACATTTTAATTAATTTAAATTAATTAAATAAAACCAGCATAGTTACCAGTTATGTAGATATTCTCATCAGATGAATAGGTATTCCCAGAAACTTGGTTGTATGGAAGTGCGTGAGTGATAGAGAAAGTGGTGTTGGAAAGTGTTAAGAGTTTAAAAGAGTTGAGTGTCCATGAGTTTAAGAGTAGAGTGTTAGTCCCAGATATTGTCCTGGATTTCTCTGCATGTCCGAGTTGGAATCCCCCAAACTTCAACTCCCTCTCTCTGTCTCTGTGTATCTAACTTTTAAAGGGCCAGACTCTCTGTACGTCATTAGTTGATAAACCAATAGGCAGCCGTAGGTGTGTCCAATTGATGGATCGCAATTTAGGTATTTGATCCATAGATGGCAGTCTCATCTAAGGAAACCTTCCTATCCAGGAAAGAGTTAATTTTTCCTGATGACGATTTTGACATCATTTGGCTTATCTAAAATGACTACCATAACTTAGATTTGCTGTCAGTTCAAAGCGTTTGTCCTAGTCTTTGTGGCATCTACTTTGATCGTAACTTGTAAAATTGACAGTTATAAACTCAATTTCACCCCTTACTACAATGGTACCTTGTAAAATTTAGAAAGTAAAATTAATTACTTAGTCTTCTCTGTCACTAGTGTCTGTGTTTAGATAATTGCATCTATTAACATTTACATTTTAGACAGAGCGTTCCATCCCCATTGCTTCATTGCTTATCTTGGTTTGTTTATGTAATACATTCCTCAGCTCAAGCAAGTGGCTAGTTACAGAAAATAAGGAGAAATCAAGGAAATTATGTGTTTTTGTTATCCTGAAGATAGCAAAATGGAGTCCGCTTTGTTCTGAGTGAATTTGGCAATATACACTTTTAATTTCTTTTTAGCACAAAATGTCTGTTGATATAAATATTCTGACAATACATGTATTAGTACTTAAGTAATATCAGATATTGAGAATGAAAATACTATACTATATATGTCTGTAGGAATATGATAGTGATACACAGTTATTATCTAGAAAGTTATCATTTTGAATTTGTTGTCTACAAAGACATGACTATAGCTGAGCAGGTTGATCTTTCTCATTGCTTTACGTTGCTTATTGGATCAACATTTGTAAATATTTTATTTTATTCATTTATTATTGTTATATATATGTATATATTATGTTCAAGTAGTTATGATGTAACATGGATATGGATATCAATACATAGCTGAAACAGACAGAGTTTTGAAGTAAAGTAAGCAGTATGAGGGATAGAAACTCGACCTTCTAAGAACTCTCATATAATAGAAAGTTGTGACTACATCTTGTTCTATGCTCCATGAATGTGATACAAGTGATGTATGAATGGACAGGTTAGTGGCATTGTGTTATGGTTTTAAAACAAACCATAAACAGAGGGAATGTAGAATATTGCATATTCTATGTTTCTATTGATTATATATATGGATGTGTGGATTGACATAAGTAACAGATGGTATCAATAAGTCACAAGGCTTTCTTTGTCCGAGAGCTCTGGAATGTGGATGTGGGGTTTTTGTCCTTATATGGCTAGAGTTAAATGCTGACGTTAGTATTAGCACATCTTTATAGTAACAGAGGGACATGAAGTCGCTCTCTCTCTTGGCTTGGCTCTCTCTGGCTCTCTCTCGATGTAAAGATGTAAGAATGTAAAGAAGTCCAGCAATTACCATCTGCTGTTGAATGTCCATTATCCCGTAACATCCTTTATTATGTTTTATTATGTATGAGTAACTAAGAATAAACCTGAAGAAACCGTAAGTCAGATTGCGTATTAGTACTTTTCAATAATATAGATATATATTATTGTGGCGAGCATTATATTTGGCCCAAGACTATATATACAAAAGACGTATATATATCAACCAACTGAAGACAAGAAGAAATTAAGAGGATTCTACATTAACACCATTCCAACTAGATTTTACATGAAGTATGTTAGAACAAGTCTACATAAGTAAATGTACCAAGTGGTAAATTGCCAAATCTGTATACCTGGCTCTGGTTAAAACAGCTTGTTACCCACTAAGGGGGGTACACCTTCTTTGGAGGTAGATGAAGGTAGCAACAGAATTTTGGTTAAAAGATCAAATTGATCAATTTATTAATATATGAAAATAACACATATAAATTACAAAACAATAAAAGTCCTTGTGCTGCAAACCTATTCAAGACGTGTTTCGCCCTTTCCTCTGGATTTTTCAATCGAAGTTCATCTCCTTATTGTTACCTCCATCCTTTTAAAGCTCAGGTCTGATACCTCATTCGTCGGTTACAATTCTAATTAACCAATCAGTCCGTTGCTGTCTCTGGCGTCCTGTTCACAGCTGATTGTGCTTGCTGTACTGATTCCCGGAAGTGATGAAACGTCCATTTGTCACTTCCGGTATTTGTTCGCCATTTTGCTTTCTGGATTTTCCGTGTTGTATAGAGGATATCCCATGTCCATACTTGTGGGCATGATTGCCTTAGTTCAAATATCACTCATATGCAGAATAAAACACAATGATAAATAGCATAGCATTGGAATATATATGAAATAAAATTAATGCTGCATTCAGATGATAGCAAAAAAATAGCATATCTGGATAGATAAAATATACATGTATATACTCAGGTTGTATATCTTCCCATAATCCATTTTCTTTTCTCTCACTAACCTAAGTCCTAAATACTTCAAAGGAATATCAGGAAAATATTCTGGTAAATTAATTAAAACAATAAAAATTGTAAAAAATATAAAATATATTTAAAAATAGTTTATAAAAAAATTATATAACTCAAAGTCATTATTTAAACCATAGGGGAGGAGAGAATTTAGATTAAAGATCCATCTCATCTCTGCTTTACCCATTGCGGTGATGAGGTCTTCTCCCTTCCAGTAAGTTACAATTTTTTGTATTCCAAAAAATGTAAGTTGGCTTGGATCCATATTGTGTTTTAACCTGAAGAGATTAGACTAGTGTGACGAGACCAATCTCGCCACTGTGCATTGGAGGAGCCTTGTTGCATGCCTGCTGCCTTTTGACTATGGACCGGCATTTAAATACTTTATTTTCCTGTGCAGAAAGGTCTATTCATGTATTTCTGCCTGGGCGTTCGGTAGATAGAATCAGTTGTCTATTGGCCTCCCAGGAGCCACGGTTAGCTGGCAGGCGCCGTTAATTGGCTGCCCAGAAGCCGGCGAGCGCTGCCAATTGACCACCCAGAAGCCACAGTTAGCCGTGGCTTAACGTGCGTGTGCCGTCATTTGACCACCCAGTAGCTGCGGTTAACCGCAGCTTAATTGACTATACCGGGTGGCTGCGGCTATGCATACTGAACACTGGATGGCAGCAGTCTGCAGTTCACACGTGGCCAGTTCACTCACGGATTTACGGAATGAGCTCATTTAACCCAGATAGCTATGCCACGGAGCCTATTCGTGTAATAAAAGACTTTGGCCCCATGGCAATTGAACTGTATGTTTGTGGTCGGAGCGCCATTCAGTAATAATGTGCGCTCAGACCTAAGCTATCTGGGGATATGTTGCATGTCTGTATTTTATGTAATAAATGTAACCTTGTGTATTTTATTGTATTTTACTGCCATGTGCTTAATGGAGTTTTGCCTCTGTCCTTGGAGATAATTGGATTACTTCCCAATTATCTCCAGGATAGAGAGGAGGGATTGTGATGTCATTATGGGAGTGTTTTACTGTGTATTACGTGTTTATTGGTTGTTTTATAAAACCCTGTGGGTGGCACTAATGTTTAAGAATGTGTATATAAGAACATAAACCCACAGCTCTGGCTGTTCACTGCTTGACCCTCAACACAGAGCTTTGTCTTGTTCTTGGGGGGATTTACTGTATGCTTTTAGAGACTGATTGCCAGGAGTGTAAGCCGCTTGTGTGCTTTTCCTGTTCAGCTGCTAGCAGCTATTCGTGAGATTCCAGTTCGGGAGTTTGGAGTGCTACTTTGTATCCTGTTCGGGAGTTTGGGGTTCTGCAGTAGCTGTGCCTGTGTCTCTGGAAGGGGAAGATCTTCTAAATGGTGGTTTAACCCCCTTTAGGCCTGTGGGTGCTGTTACAAATAAGATTTGAAAAACACAGTCTTTTTAATGTTTCGAACGTGTTCTTGAATTCTCAGATATAGTGTCCTAGCAGTCCTTCCTACATAAAACAGACCGCACGTACAAACGATTACATAAATGACTCTCTTGGAGTGGCATGTAATAAGCTGTTTTACAGTAAATTGTTCTTCATTATTATGTGGGTGTGTAAATTCCTTAATATGCCTTTTCTTATTTTTCGTGTTAACACACACTCCACAACTGCCACATCTGTAGAAACCCCCTTCCTCATTAAACTGGTTCTTTGGGGACTGTTCTCTGTGCAAATAGCTGCTGACCAGGTTACTTTTTAAATTCGGTACTCCCCTGTAGGTTATTTGAGGTTTTTCTGGGAGTATAGAATGTAATATGTAATCTTTTTTCAAAATTGGCCAATATTTATTTATAACTTTTCGAACATCGTTATGTTTACAGTTAAAATCACAAATGAAACTTGTACATTCCTATCATTTTTTTAGGTTTATTTGGGATTAAAAGTTAATTTCTATTTTTCAAAAGGGTATCCTCAAGGGCCTTATTTAGGAGTTCTTCCTCATATCCTTTGTCTCTAAAGTCCTTAAGAGTTTTTATAGATTGCTTGTTAAATTCCTCTTCTTTTGTACAATTATGTTTAATCCTTAATAATTGTGACTTCAGTACATTTCTCAGCCACAGGGAGAAATGACAACTTCCCTCTTCTACGTAAATATTAACATCAACTAGTTTAAAATGTGTCTTGGTTTTAATTTGGTTATCTTCCACATAAATATTGTGATCTAAAAAATTAACATAAAGTTTACTAAAATCACTTGTTAATTGAATGCCCTAGTCATTATTGTTTAAAAAATTAAGAAAGTTCTGGAGGGTAGATTAATTTCCCCTCCATATAAAAAATATATCGTCAATGTATCGGCGATAGAGCACCAGATTTGCATTCCAGTCACGCCTACTATAGATATATTCCTGTTCCCACTTGGACATGAATAAATTGGCGTAACTGGACACAAATCTCGTGCCCATCATCATACCGCAAATCTGAAGATAAAAGTTATCCTCAAACCAAAAATAATTGTTACTTAAAATCCACTGTATTCCTACCAGAATAAAATCAATCTGTGGTTGAGGAAACACATTAAAAAATTCTAAAACATGTCTAGTGGATAGGCAACCCTTCTCATGTGAGATGATAGTACAAAGGGAGCTAACATCCCAAGTAACTAGCAAAAAAATCTTCCTCCCAAACATGATCTTTTAAGATGGTCAGGAGGCCAAGAGTGTCCTTCAGATGGTTTGGCCATCTCTGCATTGTTGATTGTAAATACATGTTATCTCCCTTTACACTATCATCTCACATGAGAAGGGTTGCCTATCCACTAGACATTTTTTAGAATTTTTTCATGTATTTCCTCAACCACAGATTGATTTTATTCTGGAAGGAATACAATGGATTTTAAGTAACAATTATTTTTGGTTTGATGATAACTTTTATCTTCAGATTTGTGGTACGGCGATGGGCGCCAGTTATGCCAGTTTAATCATGTCCAAGTGGGAACAGGAAGATATCTATAGTAGGCGTGACTGGGATGCGAATCTGGTGCTCTATCACCGATACATCAACAATATATTTTTTATATGGAGGGGAAATTCAACTTCTCTCAAGGACTTTCTAAAGTTTTTAAACAATAACGACTGGGGCATTCAATTAACAAGTGATTTTAGTAAATCTAATGTTAATTTTTTTAGATCTCAAAATTTATGAGGAAGATAACCAAATTAAAACTACGACACATTTTAAACTAGTAGATGTTAATAGTTATGTAGAAGAGGGAAGTTGTCATTCCCCCGGTGGCTGAGAAATGTACCGAAGTCACAATTATTAAGGGTTAAACATAATTGTACAGAAGAAGAGGAATTTAACCAGCAATGTGATCTATTTGGATTTTGCCAAGGCATTTGATACAGTTCCACACAACAGATTAGTGTTCAAACTCAAGGAAATCAGTCTAGATGAAAATGCTTGTTCTTGGGTAGAACATTGGCTTAAAAATAGAGTACAAAGCGTTGTCGTTAATGGTAAATTTTCAAGCTGGACAGAGGTGGCAAGTGGTGTCCCTCAGGGGTCTGTTCTGGGACCCCTTCTATTTAACATGTTTATAAATGATCTTGAAGACAGCATTGAAAGTCATGTTTCAGTGTTTGCAGATGACACAAAACTCTGTAAAATAATACAATGCGAGCAAGATATTACTTTGCTGCAAAGGGATTTAGATTGACTGGGGGACTGGGTACTCAAATGGCAGATGAAATTTAATGTTGAAAAATGCAAAGTAAAGCACTTCTGTGTAAAGAATACACAAGCAACGTATACCTTTAATGGAAGCAAATTAGGGATAACAACACACGAAAAGGACTTGGGAATTGTTATATACAACAAACTATGCAACAATGTGCAATGTTAATCAGCAATGGCCAGGCCAGTAAGGTATTGTCATGCATGAAAAAGGGCATTCATTCTCGAGACGAGAATATAATTGTGCCTCTTTGTAAGACCACATATTGAATATGGTGTGCAATTATGGGCACCTGTTCTAAAGAAGGATATTATGGCACTAGAAAAAATGCAGAGGCGGGCTACAAAATTAATAAAAGGAATGGAACATATCAGCTATGAAGAAAGGTTAACAAATTTGAACCTATTTAATTTAGAAAAACATTACCTGAGAGGGGATATGATAACATTATACAAATATCGGGGCCAATACAAACCATTGTGTGCAAATCTATTCACTTTACATAGGACACGAGGTCATGTGTTTAGACTGGAAGAAAGAAGAGTTTGTCTAAAGCAAAGGAAAGTTATTTTAATGTAAGAACAATAAGGATGTGGAATTCTCTGCCTGAGGAAGTGGTTTTATCAGAGTCCATACAGATGTTCAAACAGCTACTAGATGCATACTTGCAAAAACAGAATATTCAAGGATATAATCTTTCAATGTAGGGTAATAACTAGAGTTGAGCGGACACCTGGATGTTCGGGTCCGGCAGGTTCGGACGAACTTTGAAAAAAAGTCCAGGTTCGGGATCGAACTTGACCACGAACCCAAACCCCATTGAAGTCAATGGGGACCAGAACGTTTGGCCACAAAAATGGCTCTAAAAAACTCCTAGAAAGGGCTAGAGGGCTACAAAAGGAAGTAAAATGAGGGTAAGAGTAGGACAAGTGCCCTGCAAACAAATGTGGATAGGGAAATCACTTAAAAATAACATAAAATAAGCAGCCGCTTAGTAGATAACTCCCTAATTCATACAGTATTATAGAGCTATCTACCAAAAGGCTGAAAGACCTAAATTGGTCGGGTAGGGGCCCTAAATAACAATAAGGGGGGGACCTACTGTCCTCCCTCCAGCCCCCACCCCTGAGCAGTGGGTGGGGGCCATAAATAAGAATTTGGGGGGGACCTACTGTCCTCCCCCCAGCCCCCACCCCTGCGTGGCAGGTGGGGGCCCTAAATAACAATAAGGGGGACCTAATGTCCTACCCCTGGCCCCCACCCCTGCGCGGTGGGTGGGTGTCCTAAATAACAATAAGGGGGGAACTAATGTCCTCCCCCCTGTCCCCCACCACTGCGCGGTGGGTGGGGGCCCTAAATAACAATAAGGGGGGACCTAATGTGCGGTGGGTGGGGGCCCTAAATAAAAATTTACCCCCCCATGTGACTAGGGGTCCCCAAACCCCTAGTCACCCCTCTGCCCCCCAAAAAATTACCTCTACCTACCCACCTATTAGTAAAATCAGGAGGGGGGAAATTGTTTTTTAAATTCAGGAGGCTCGTGAGGAGGGAAATTGTTTTTTAACAGTGAGCAGCCACAGGCTGCTCACTGTTTAATAGACTTGCCCCTACTAGCTGGATCCCATGCTGCACTGGCCAATCACAGCCATGCCATTAGTAGGCATGGCTGTGATGGCTTCTAAGGGTACACGAGTCAAACGCTTGTTGATTGGCTGCCCTGCAGCCTTTGAAAATGCGTCATTAAATCACCGAACTCCAACCCGAACATACAGTGATGTGTTTGGGTCCAAAAAACTTAATGTTCGGTACGAACTCGAACTTTTTAGTTCGGGTTCGCTCAACTCTAGTAATAGCTGCTTGATCCAAGGATAAATCTGACTGCCATTCTGGGGTCAAGAAGAATTTTTTTCCTAGCTTGTTGCAAAATAGGAAGTGCTTCAAACTAGGGTTTTTTTGCCTTCTTTTGGATCAACAGCAAAAAAACAAATGTGAGGAAGGCTGAACTTGATGGACGCAAGTCTCTTTTCAGCTATGTAACTATGTAACTATGTAATCTATAAAAATTCTTAGGACTTTAGAGACTGTTATGTGTACTTTGTCTTTAAGAGATATTGCACACTGACAAGGTGTTAGAAATGGAACATGTTGTTTTTCATAACTGTTTCTTTAAGAAATAACCTCAGTGGATAATATGTTTGCGCCATTTTGTCCCAGACGAATTACAATAACAATAATGCATAAACAAGCTTCAAGGCTATGCTACGACTCTTTCAGTTCGTAATATACTGTGGTAACCTTAGTAGATAAGGATGTTCAGAGTTTAAGATGCCGTCTTGAACTAAGTCAGGAAAATTTCCATGACGTATGTACCCTTTAGTTATGGCCTCGTATTTTTGCCAAATTAAGGGAGGTCCTATAATGAATAAAGTAAAAGAAGTGTTACTTTTTCATATATGAACTACGGTAACCCTAACATGGAGACACCTAAGGTATAAATAGGTGTACTTTTAAATGTTAAGACACAAATGTTAAGACACAGAGGAGAGACTTGGAGACAGACGCTGCTCCATCTTAAAATGACAGAGAGGCTGACATGATGACATGTTTAGAAGGGTATGTTAACCTATTAATAATATTTGCAAGCATTTAGTTTAAAGGGACACTATAGTCACCTGAACAACTTTAGCTTAATGAAGCAGTTTTGGTGTATAGAACATGACCTTGCAGCCTCACTGCGCAATCCTCTGCCATTTAGGAGTTAAATCCCTTTGTTTATGAACCCTAGTCACACGTCCCTGCATGTGACTTGCACAGCCTTCCATAAACACTTCCTGTAAAGAGAGCCCTATTTAGGCTTTCTTTATTGCAAGTTCTGTTTAATTAAGATTTTCTTATCCCTTGCTATGTTAATAGCTTGCTAGATCCTGCAAGAGCCTCCTGTATGTGATTTTTTCAATTTAGAGATTGAGATACAATTATTTAAGTTAAATTACATGGAATACATCTGTTTGAAAGTGAAACCATTTTTTTTTTTCATGCAGGCTCTGTCAATCATAGCCAGGGGAGGTGTGGCTAGGGCTGCATAAACAGAAACAAAGTGATTTAACTAAATGACAGTGAAATGAGCAGTGACATTGCAGGGGAATGATCTATACTTTAAAACCGCTTTATTTAGCTAAAGTAATTTAGGTGACTGTAGTGTTCCTTTAATTTTATAAACTCTGCTATATGGATTTTAAATGTCTATATTTATATTTTTATATAATAAATATGTAAAAAGAATAAACTTTATTGCTTCCAAGACAATCCTTATTTTAATAATATTTGCAAGCATTTCACCTAAGTGTTGCTCCTAAGTGTGTAGTTGGAGATATTCTGGAGAGTTTTATAGAAGCTTCAACTGTCTAAGAGTTGTGCTAAGAGCTTTCTTTTCTACTGTTACAGATAAGATTAATCTGTAGGAAAAGGTTACTGATTGCACAAGGTTTGAATTTCTGTTGGTAATTATAAGGCATTTGATTTGATTAAGCTAGTTACTTGCTATTGTTTGCAAATAAGCAGAAGCCTACCCAGGTGTTAAACATTACTAGTGGGTGGTGATTTTAGGAGTTATATAAGGCTTGTTGTCATTAGCTTGGCTAATATAGCTTGGTTGCTTCACCTAAGTGTTGCTTCTAAGTGTGTAGTTGGAGATATTCTGGAGAGTGTTGCTTCTAAGTGTGTAGTTGGAGATATTCTGGAGAGTGTTGCTTCTAAGTGTGTAGTTGGAGATATTCTGGAGAGTGTTGCTTCTAAGTGTGTAGTTGGAGATATTCTGGAGAGTGTTGCTTCTAAGTGTGTAGTTGGAGATATTCTGGAGAGTGTTGCTTCTAAGTGTGTAGTTGGAGATATTCTGGAGAGTGTTGCTTCTAAGTGTGTAGTTGGAGATATTCTGGAGATAAACTGGAGGTAATCTGAGGTATTCAGGAGGATAAAGAAAAAAAGTTAAGATTAGTTTGAGTTAAATTAAGTTTTTAGTGTTTTTGCCAATGATATACGGCAGGTTGTTTCCACACTGTCATTCAATGAAGTTCTGCCTGTGCATAACACTTATTAGGGACTTTAACTGTGGCTTGGTGAATGGTGTCGGGAGCAAGGATTTGGCTTTATTTCTCATGGTAGCTCTGTTTGAAATGGAAATAAGCTGTACAAAAAAGATGGTTTGCATCTTTCTCAAAAGGGAACAAATGTTCTCAGTGAGCAGTTCAGAGGTTTTGCTAGGATGTATTTAAACTAGGAGGGGGGGGCAAAAGGGTGATAAAACATCAATCCAATTGTCCCCAAAACAAGGACAGAAGGTGCCTGTAGCAAGTGTGTTAAAAAATGATAAGCTTAGAGTCATGTCTACAAATGCTCGCAGTTTAGGGAAAAAGATCCATGAACTTGTTGCAATAATGGCAACTGATAGTGTAGATTTAGTCGCTGTTACTGAGACATGGTATAATGAGAAAAATGACTGGGACATAGCAATACCAGGGTACTCTTTATATAGAAAAGATAGGGAAGGCAAGAAAGGGGGAGGGGTGGCCCTGTATGTGAAGGATAGCATAAAATCTAGCCTAATAAAAGTTATTGAGACAAACATAGAGTCCGTTTGGGTTACATTAGAATTTGGTAATCACACAGTAACTCGTGTAGGTGTGATATATAGGCCCCCAGGACAAATCGAAGAGTTAGATAATCTACTAGATGAGGAAATAGCAAAAATGACAATGAAGGGGGAAGTTATCATCATGGGTGACCTTAATCTTCATGATGTAAATTGGAAAACAAAAATAAACTACTTGTGCCAGGAGCACACAAATTCTAAACTCACTACTGGGATTGTCTCTAAAACAAGTTGTTGAAGAGCCAACTCGAAAAGAGGCCATACTAGATTTAGTGTTACCAAATGGAGATTTGGTATCAGATATTACTGTAGGTGAAAGTTTAGGATCCAGTGATCATCAGTCAGCGTGGTTTAACATAAGAACAGTGACTGAGTCACACTACACAAAAACAAAAGTTTTAGACTTTAGAAAAACAGACTTTTCTAAAATTAGAATATGTGTAGAGGAGTCATTATCAGACTGGAGCAATTTAAATGGAGTCCAATATAAATGGGATTATCTAAAAGTTGCACCATTGAAGGCAAAAGAAAATTGCATTAGGCTTGTCAGTAAAAGCAAAAAATTCAAGAAACCACTGTGGTACTCCGCAGATGTGGCCAAAATAGTTAAAAACAAAAAGTTAGCAAGACAAGTGAGGAAGACAAAATGATCTATAAGATTAGGCAGAAAGAGGCTAAGCAAGTTATAAGAGCTTCCAAATCACACACAGAAGAGAAAATAGCACAGTCAGTAAAAAAGGGGGACAAAACATTTTTTAGATACATAAATGAGAAAAGAAAAGTAAAACAAGGATTAGTTAGATTAAAAACAAAAGAAGGAAGGTATGTAGAAGAGGATAAAGGTCTAGCTGACTGCCTCAATGAATATTTTTGTTCTGTATTTACAGATGAAAATGAAGGAAAAGGACCTCAATTGAGAAAAAGGATAAATGAGTCATTTATTACACGTGAGTTTAGAGAGGAAGAGGTTCTATTTCAACTGTCAAAAGTAAAGACAAATAAGTCAATGGGACCTCATGGAATATACCCAAAGTTATTAAAAGAGCTTAGTGGTGTACTAGCAAAACCATTAACAGATTTATTTAACCAATTCTTTTTAACAGGAGCAGAAGATTGGAAGTTAGCAAATGTTGTGCCCATTCACAAGAAAGGTAGTAGGGAGGAGTCGGGCAACTATAGGCCAGTAAGCCTTACTTCAGTAGTGGGGAAAGTAATGGAAACCATGTTAAAGGATTGGATTGTTGAACATCTAAAAACACATGGATTTCAAGATCAGAGACAACATGGGTTTACTTCAGGGAGATCATGCCAAACTAATCTTATTGATTTTTTTGATTGGTAACTAAAATAATAGATCAGGGTGGTGCAGTAGACGTTGCTTACCTAGATTTCAGTAAGGATTTTGACACTGTTGCACATAGAAGGCTTATCAATAAACTGCAATGTCTAAGTTTCGATTCCAATATTTTTGAATGGGTAAGGCAGCGGCTGAATGACAGGCAACAGAGGGTTGTAGTCAATGGAGTATATTCGAAGCATGGTCTTGTCACCAGTGGGTTACCTCAGGGATCTGTGCTTGGACCCATTCTCTTTAATGTTTGTATTAGTGATATTGCAGAAGGTCTTGATGGTAAGGTATGTATTTTTGCTGATGATACTAACAACTGTAACAGGGTTGATGTTCCAGGAGGGATAAGCCAAATGGCAAAAGATTTAGGTAAACTAGAAAAATGGTCAGAGTTGTGGCAACTGACATTTAATGTGGATAAGTGCAAGATAATGCATCGTGGATGTAAAAACCCAACGACAGAGTACAGGATATTTGATAGAGTTCTAACCTCAACATGACTTAAAGGTAGGCAGACAATGTAATAGAGCAGCAGGAAATGCTAGCAGAATGCTTGGTTGTATAGGGAGAAAGAGGGCAGTAGAAAGAGGGAAGTGCTCATGCCATTGTACCGAACACTGATGAGACCTCACTTGGAGTATTGTACGCAGTACTGGAGACCGTATCTCCAGAAGGAAATTGATACCTTAGAGAGGGTTCAGAGAAGGGCTACTAAACTGGTTCATGGATTGCAGGATAAAACTTACAATGAAAGGTTAAAGGAATTTAACATGTATAGCTTGGAGGAAAGACGAGACAAGGGGGATATGATAGAAACATTTAAATACATAAAGGGAATCAACACAGTAAAGGAGGAGACTATATTTAAAAGAAGAAAAACTACCACAACAAGAGGACATAGTCTTAAATTAGAGGGACAAAGGTTTAAAAATAATATCCGGAAATATTACTTTACTGGTAGGTAGTGGATGCATGAAGTGGTAGAGGTTAACACAGTAAAGGAGTTTAAGCATGCGTGGGATAGGCATAAGGTTATCCTAACTATAAGATAAGGCCAGGGACTAATGAAAGTATTTTTTTAAAAATTGGGCAGACTAGATGGGCCGAATGGTTCTTATCTGCCGTCATATTTTATTTTTCTATATATTGAGATTACCAAACTATCAAAATCTTTTTTATTAAACCACTATTTTTTAACTTAGAACACTTATTTTCATTTGATTATTTTTTAAATTACATTTATTTATTATTTTTTTCTTGATTAAGATTTATTTGAATATTCATATTTCATCTTAATTTTTGAATTATGACTTTATAGGGTTTTTTTCCTATTACAGATACTATTTTCATTTATCAAAAGTGCTTCTAAATATTTTAAATAATTATATTAAAAGTTACTTTTTATATTTTTGGGTTACTCTTTACACAAGGGGTTTATCGCCTAAACGGTTCACGATTGTGCTTTGTTCCTATTATTGTAAACTCCTACAGATACTAACCGGGCTCCCTGGAAATGCAATGTTATCAGGTGGCCCTAATAGCATGGGCTACCCGATAAACCCCTGAACGCATGGCTTCAACGGTTATACCATGCGGGCCGGAGCTGCGTTACATGGCTGGTGTGCACCTGGATCGCATGGGTCCACATGCTACCGAGGTAGTTCCGCCACTGCCCATAACCATTAATCAACCTTTTTTGGGAAACTAAGCAGCTTATTTTCTTCAAGCCCCCCAAAAAACCAAGAATGTCACTCTGGAAAATGAAAGAAAACTGTTGCTGTTCGGTGTCACGAAAGTGAGTTCCTCCAAGATTCAAGTGTGTAGTTGCTTGGAAATTTGAATTTCTTTTGAACACCTGATAAACTCTAATTTGCCAAAATTGCAGTTTGATGTTAAATGAATACTATAGTGCCAGGAATACAAATTATTTCTGGCACTAGAGCTCCCTTTGCCTCCCTCCTCCCTTGTGCCCCCCTTGTGGTGGTAAATAAAGGGTTAAAAGCCCTTTATTTATTTACCTGATCTCAGAGAAGATGTCCCTCTAGGTTGCGGCTTTGCCTACTTAGACGTTGCTTGATGAGGGGGCGATAATGTGCATGTGCGGCCAGTGCCATGCACACATTAGGCCCTCCCCATATGAAAGCATTGAATCGATGCTTTTTTATGGAGAAATAGCTGATGCTGGATGACCTCATGCAAAACGTGAGAACATCCTGTGTCAGTAACTGGGCCAAAGTCCGTTAGGATCCTGGAAGCGCCTCCGGTCTGGTAGATGGCCACTGGGGGCAGACTTGGTGCTGCAATGTAAACATTGCAGCACTAAGTACAATAGGGACAGTGCACCCAGACCACTCGATGAGCTGAAGTGATCTGGATGCCTATTGTGTCACTTTAATTTAGCCTCCAAATCAAATATGTTACATTTGTTTAATTTTTTTCATTTTTTTTTTACATCTAACTCTTAATTCAGTAATTAGTTGAAGCACTTTTGACTGTGATTACAGCTTTAAATCTTTTTGGTCATGATTGTGATAGAATTTATCTTGATTCCAAGGCTCAAGCTTATAGGTGTCATATAATGATATCCTATATTAAAATTGGCTAACTTGGATTCAGGAAAGGAAATGCTTGATGCTTAACACAACACTTAAGACCATATATGTCTAGTTCCGGGAGCAGAGAGCCCACACCTGAGATGTCTCTTCTCTAATCTTTTTGTTCTTTCTTACCTTGGAAATTATTTGTTATGTGTACATGACGTTCAACCTTATGTCTTATCTGTACTCCCTTCCTATTACTGTTCTATGAGTATTTGCATGTAAGCACTTATTTTTTAATGTATAAAACCCAGCTAATGAATAAAACGGCAGAGGCTTATTTTGAATACCAACAGGTTTCTGGTGTCTAATTCTTGCTTCTCCAAGTGCACTTGTAACAACAATTTGGGCTTCCTCTGAATATAACAAAGATCAACATTCTGTTCCACAACAATGATGCAACAAGCTTTGTTTTGATTTTAGCACTTTCTGCTATTCATCTCTTCAAATCCTCTCAAGCTTTTCTATGGGGATTGTTGGGGTGTAATTGCATAGATAAGAAGTGGCCACTTGTTTCCTCCAGACACAATGCTTTGAAGTGAGGCCAAACAGTGTAGGATATGAATATCCATTTTGCTTAATATCCTAGCTGTTCATATAAGGGTTAATTTGAACCAAGAATAAATTTGGAATTGTATCTCCGATTCTCGGAAATAAAATTTATCTAAAATCCTATTTACGGGATATGTTCTTGGACAAGGATTTTTACACGAGATGTTCTTGGATAAGGATTTTGGGATGTTCTTATTAATTGTCCAAGATTTCGGTATTTGTAATCATCTGGGTTTTATCCAATATGTATACATTATATAACACTGATTTATAACTAGAAACAGCTGTTTATAACTTGTGAAAAACAATGTCATTGTCACGCCCATATGCTCATTTTTCCCCCTCCCATCCTGCTATGAAAATGGGGTATAAATATAACTGACGTATGAATACAATTTGAATTGGTTATTGAACATGTCTCTGCTATTCATTTCCAATTTCCAGAGCTCTGAATGAGTTGGCAAATATCCATCATCCACAAAGGGCCCGGGCTGATTTTATCCCCAACAAACAGTTCAATCTTTGTTCAATCATTTCAGCAGATCAGAGAATCATGTTTCTTTCATGAGACTTTTAGGTGCTTGCCTTAAAATTCCAAGCAGGCTTTCATGTGTCTTGCAGTGACGGGAAACTTCTTTCTGACCATCTGCCATAAAGGTCAGACTAGTGGATTTACGTTTCTTCCATCTCCACAAATGATTACAGGAGCTCACCCAGAGTAACTATCAATCACTGGTCACCTCTCTTGCAAAGCTCTTTCCCCCTAACTGTTCAGTATAGCCAGACGGCCAGCTCTTGGAAGAGTCCTAGTTGTTCCTCCATTTATAGATCCGCCAAGCATGCAGTGAAACTAATTCTACACAATCAGCAAAATTGTCCAATTCTGACACTCTGGTCCCTATTGAAGTCACTTTTGGTGGTGGAGATGGGTCATCATGTGCACTCTGACACTTTTATCATGTTTTTCAGCAATTTGAGCTACAGTCGTTCTTCTGTGGTATTGGACCAGATGGGTAGTAGTTTAGATAATGATCCCTTAAACTATTTTCTAAAACTAGAACACTGTGCTTACTGCAATATTATTCATGCACAGAATTTGCATAGCGATAAAGATAATGTTTTTCTGGACAATAATGCTAGTGTTGTTGGTTAATTTGCTTGTTGACCAGTTTATAGAAAGAAAAATGGTTTATTTATACAAAGACTGTGATCACTTTTATGATTATATAACATTGATTGGTCTGTAGCACAAAGTAATATCAACAAAGATAAATCACACTGTTGCATCATGAGCCTAATTATACACTATTGAATGTTGATCTTTATTACAAGGGAAAAAAGTAAGAATAAGTGCACAATATAATTTAGTAACTGTCTGTGAACTGAGAGAAATTGACAGCCCAACTGAAAATAATTTACATAAAAATATAGTTTGACAAAATTCCTCAAGTGTACTATTTAGTCTAAAATTTAATCTGTACTCTCAGTTTAACACAATCCATTGTTGGTTGAATAATTCAATGTTATCAATAAATGCAGCCTTTACTCTGAGGCTGGTTCACTGGTTGTCCTTCCTTGTACCACTTTTGGTATGCACTAACCACTGCATAAGAGGAACACCTCAAAAGACTTGCCGTTTTGAAGATGCTCTGACCCAATCATCTAGCCATCACTATTTAGCCTTTGTCAAAGTCACTCAGATCTTTTCACTTGCCCATTTCTACTGATTCCAACACACAACATTGAAGTAATGACTGTTGTCTTGCTGCCTAATATATCCTACCCCTGCCATTGTAACAATATAATCATTGTTTTCCACTTCACCTGCCAATGTTTTATATATATGTATATAGATAGAAAGAGTTGATCTTAAATTAACGCCTGTTTGCTATTTGCTCCAAAACTATTATCTCAAATGTGATGTCTTTACACCACTAGATAGAGAAACACTTCCTGCATGACTAGCAGAAACAAAGAGCTGCCAAGATCCACCTAAGGCTCAGAAATATGTACAGTGAGGTGACAATTGATGTGAGCAATGTGCAAAGATTGGTAAAAAAAGGTTTAAAGAAGGTGAAATCAGTGTTGAAGACAAACTGACTTTTATTGTAATCCTGTTGCTGTAATCCTGTAAATCTCTTGCAATGTCTTTATGTATGTAATTAATCTGAATTGGAGGCTTGCTAATCCAAGTAAAAATGTGACAAGGACCAGACTTAAAATTCCAAATTTGAAAATTGATATGAATATGCCATCTAGCAAATGTATATATGAAGCTAATTCCAATGGTCATGTTATTGAACTGAAGAAAAAATGTTTAGTTACTGCAATAGCATACATGTGGTTTCTGAATTGCACAGCAGGACTGAATATTTTGGATATTTGCATTACATAACGTTTTGTATTGTGCAGATTGTTTATTAATGCAGTAACTTGAATCAACTTGTCCAGTATCACAAAAGAAAATGATAAGTGATCAAACTGTCTATATTGCGTATATATGTATATTGCTTCCTAAAAGTAAGCAGCTGCTCGTATTCTGTTTTAGTCACAGGACAGTCTCGCCTAAAGTGGATCAATAATGTCAAAGTTTAAAATACCACTAGATATTGCAAATGCTAATAGTCAGAATTTTAAAATACATTCATAAAACATATCACCAAACACAGTAAATATAAGTTAGTGTAAATATGTATATTTTAAACAGTGTATGTGTATCATGAAACTAGAATGTGGAAGATGGCAATCTTTATAAAAATAGTTAGTTTATACTGGTAGTAGTTTAGATAACGATCCCTTAAACTATTTTCTAAAACTAGAACACTGTGCTTACTGCAATATTATTCATGCACAGAATTTGCATAGCGATAAAGATAATGTTTTTCTGGACAATAATGCTAGTGTTGTTGGTTAATTTGCTTGTTGACCAGTTTATAGAAAGAAAAATGGTTTATTTATACAAAGACTGTGATCACTTTTATGATTATATAACATTGATTGGTTTGTAGCACAAAGTAATATCAACAAAGATAAATCACACTGTTGCATCATGAGCCTAATTATACACTATTGAATGTTGATCTTTATTACAAGGGAAAAAAGTAAGAATAAGTGCACAATATAATTTAGTAACTGTCTGTGAACTGAGAGAAATTGACAGTCCAACTGAAAATAATTTACATAAAAATATAGTTTGACAAAATTCCTCAAGTGTACTATTTAGTCTAAAATTTAATCTGTACTCTCAGTTTAACACAATCCATTGTTGGTTGAATAATTCAATGTTATCAATAAATGCAGCCCTATTTTACCATAACACTTCTTGAACAGTTACAGAATTGTCCTTTCTAGACAGACACAGCAGATGTGCCTGAATCTATCCCAGATAATAAAACAATACAGGCCATGTTATATTAGTTGCCACTCATGATATTGTTCACCTGTGACCTGTTTGTCCCACTTTATGAATACCAAAGTTTTTCAGATTGTTCATGTGGCTTTTCAGATTTTGGAGTTAAGCAATGAGACCAAAATAAAAACATTTTCATTTTCGATAACCACTTACACATAACCTGTGAGGCTATAACCATTTGTTTCCTTTTTTGAGGCATTGGTCACACTTGTAGATATTTTTCCCTTGTCTGCAATCAGCGATCGTCCTTGGTATTTGCTATAAAAGTCATGGTCTGCCTCCTTAGGTGGGCAGGAGGCACAGAGAATAGCACCACCCAAAACAGAGAGAATAGATGCAAGGATACCCAGGTAGAGTGCAGGTCCTATCTCAAACTTAACTGCATCAGGGATCAGTGGATTGTAGAATTCTTGAAGAATGGAGTGAAGGTTCCAGCAAATGGGAATCAAAGACAGGATTCCACCTAGAATGAAGAAAGCCCCTCCTGCCACAGCCAATTTGTCTTTCCCAGGGGATCCTTGAGAAAAAATGGTGCACCTCATGCCAAACACTGAGAACATGCTAGCAAGAACAGAAAATACACATGATGTGATCATGAGGGCTTGAGCAGCCTGAGTATCAGCTGCTAACCCCAGCATGCTATTGTAAATGTCACATTGTGTAATGCCTGTGCTGAAGGACGCACACTCCATCCAAAGTCCCTTGGAAAAGCCCACAGCTGTCACAATGCTTGCACCTATGTAAGAGCTGACCTTCCAGGATGGCATGACTGTGGCAATTACAGTACCAGTCAGACCAAGAATAGACAAGACATAGCCTACCATCTGCAAGCCCACTGAAACCATATTGTGGAATGTTGTTAGTCTCTTGATTCCAGCAGCTGCTAGGATTTCTATACCAGCTTCTGTTTGAGTACCTCTTTTATGTCTGTAACTGGATCTTTGTTTTCCGGTAAGTTTTTGGAAGAAAAATCTTTTTCTGCAGACTTTTCTCCTTGTAATTGACCAAGCTTTTACTTTCTGTTGGAACCTCAAAACAATCTCTTACTTAATGTGACTAAATATCTGGATCTGGGGATCCAGTTTATAGCTTTAGGACTAAATGAGGGGAGGAGAGGAAAAAAGTGAAGGGGAGGAGAAAAGGGAAGCGGGGGCTGGGGGTTAAATATTCACTAGAATCCATCGATTTACCAAATGCTCCTTGACCGTGTTATCTTTGGAACACAGGAATCAAACAGACCCCCACCCAAGCCCTGTGATCTCCTGCCAGAAAAAAAACCTACTTGCATTGTGTAACCCATCTCCACAATACTATATTACTTCTCTTGACAACTGCTTGCTGTAAATAAACTTCAAAGTCCTTTGTTACACAGGTTACATCTTTTACTGTGTTCAAGCTGCTTTCTTCCTTGTTACATGGTCAAGCAATGCCTCTAATACAGATAACGTATTTATCCACTAAACACTTGCCCAATATCTTATCATTAGCAGTTTAATGTATAAGCTTGCTGCAATTCACTTGTTTAAATATCCTTGATATACTGTAACTCAGTGTCTGAAGTTGTATATCCTTTTAAATGTTTGGGTGGGACATAGTTAATTCTTTAACTAAATAACCTATAAACTTGCTGCCTATAAAACATCACTAAAAACAAAGCGGTTTGTAACAGTTCAGGGTGCCACAGCTATGTATTTAATTTAATTCCTTCTGGAATTTGGACAGTTTAATCCATCTAGTTCTCCTCCTTCTAAATATGCTTACATCAGGACTTCAAATCCACTTAACAATTTAACCCATACTTTCATAGGGCCATGTACTATATGTAAAACCTTTATACAGTAAGGATTTTCTACTGGGATTTTATGATGCTAGATCTACTGTTACTGTTGTTCAATGTCCTAATTGACATGAGTTCTATAAATGTAATTGATGTAGCCAGTTAAGCAAAAACATGCATCCATGGTAAGTTCGTGTCAATGCAATATTTCAAGAAATTTTTTGTTGGTGGTGGTTTGAGGCACTTGGATAAATGTGCTTGCTTAAAGCGTTTCACCCTTTTGGCATTTACACAGAAATTTGTAATGTTGCAAACTGGAAAAAAAAAAAAAATTTTATTGTGATTTTCACCATGTTAACATGTTATTGATACAATGAATATGCCTTCTTCTGGATAACTCAGAGTTGCTAAAAAAAACAACAACCAAAAAACCCCAAACAAAAGCAAAAAAGCAACATGAAAATTACTAAAGTTTTATCAAAAATAGTCTAGGATAGTTCTGGAGAAACACTTACAAGCAAGACATCAGAGATTTGATTGGAGTTTCACTTTTTCACAGGATAAAGGTCTTAAAGGGACATGCATCACATTGAGACAGTTGTCTCATTCGAAAGCTTTAGCTTTGAATGAGATAGTTGTCTTACTCTGTAGGCTGAAAAAAGCAAGTAAATATGTTTTTTTTTTTCATACCTGCTTCTTTCTTTCCACACCCACTGCAGGAGCACACACTGATCTAACCAATCAGGGTCCTATTCCTTGGTGTGCTGGAAATTTGCATTGGGCACACCTGAGAAATTTACATGTGCAGATCTTTTCACCTTGCAACATATGACGGGGGAGGGAGAAAGGGAGTCCTTGTGTCGGGTTTCTTTTTCCTGTTGCTGCACTATGATGCCCCATTTCTGTAATGAGTGGATTGGTCTGAAATTGAGAGGTGAGGGTAAAGAAAGGGACGGTGAGGCTGCAGAATCTCCCCTGGCTGAGAGGCATGTCCAACAATGCAATCTGATCAAGTTTATAGTGAATTCATAAATGCTTTTTAATACTTTTCAAAGTTGTTCTTGCTTTTTTAGTATAATTGTCAGGCCAGTATTTTTGTCAAGGAACTTTCTCGCTTCAGTGAAAGTCGTTCCCGGGTGGCTCACCAGTAGTAATGTAAGTGGGGCACCTGTGCACGGAGGTGGAACGCATGCCCAGCAGACCTTCGGTATTCCATCAACGTTCTAAATGCGCTACTGCACGTGCACAATTTTGAACTTTAAAATTTTGGTGCATATTTAAACATTTTTTGCTATAAATGCTGTGCAGACCCTAAAGGCAGTTGAGGTATACATCATTGTTAGTCTACCATCTCACCAGTCCTCTCACACAGTTCAGAAAGTCTTTAAGGTAAGATAAATCTGTGTTTACTTTAAAAGCTTCTTTTTTTTCTTTGTAAATATGATTTTATTTTAACAAACTTTACTCTGAATTTTCAGATGTCTAGCCCAACTTCTCCTAAAGAGCTGGAAAAGGAGAAAATGTCAACTTCTGTACCGAAGAAAGTGTCTTACAAGTCTAAACATTTCTTGCTCAGAATGTGCTACACCGTTGCCAGATGGATGCAGAAAGAAATTGTGTAATCAATGTTCTTCAGAGAATTTGGAGAAAAACAAACAAAAATAAATGCAAATTTTCCTGCACTGGTTTCAGGATAATCTAGTGCAAACCTTTGAGTGATTTAAAGAAACAGCAAGAACAACTGTTTCACTTATTCAAGAGAAACCTAGTAAGAAGCGTAAAAGGGAAAGATCTCATTCTATCTACTGGAGAATGTTCAGACACATCTTATTCCTCTCTCTCTAGCAAAGCTTCAAGTGTGGAAGAAGGTATTCCTGTAGAAGAACTTAAGAGATTCATCAAGGAACAATCTTCTATTTTAGCAGAAGACAATTCTGCAAAGAAGAAAGTTAAAGGTTTTCCTATTCAACCTAATTTACTGGAGTTGGTATATAGAGAATGGAAAAACCCAGAGAAAATTATGTTTTTCTAAAAAAATTTTAAAGATCTTTTTCATCTACAAGATTAGATAAAGTGGGAATATCTACCAAAGGTAGATACAAGTCACCCAACTATTATAGGAAACAGCTATACCTATCAGTGAAGTATCAGGATTAAAAATCCTATGGATAGTCTAGCAGAAACATCCTGCAGAAGGTTTTTTTAAGTGGCAGGCTTTCATTGTAAAGTAGCAGTAGCTGGCGCTGCGGTTATAAAGGCACAAAAAGTCATGGTTTCAATCAATGGAAAACTGTTTACATGAAGGAACAGAGAAAAAAATACCTCAACTAATGCACAACATCAGATTTGCTAGTGATTCTATGCGTCCACAGGAATTTTTCAAGGAGGGGCGGCATAAGGCATAGTTGTAATGACATCTATGCTCGGCCCCTTTTGCAGTGTGTGTGTGTATATTTATGTATGTATGTATATTACTAAAATCAAGACAAGTTCACTCAGGGGTCTGTTGAAAATATAAAGCTGTTGCTTTTATTCAGCACATAGAAAATCAATGTTTCAGTCCCTACAGACTTTTATCAAGGTCTTGATAACAGTCCGTAGGAACTGAAATGTCATGGAGGGGACACAGAGGTTTTTCATGGATAGCCATACCCTGTCACCCGGTACATAAGCGGGAGCTGCAGCCCTATGGGGATCAGCGAGCTTCTTCTGGGATGCCGCAGCACGTGTTAGAGCAAGGTGGACCCGATCCCACATCTCTCGAAGCGCGGCTAGGTGTTCGTCCAAAGTGGGTATTCCCTTGTTGGAGAATACACAGAGAAGGACGCTAGGTTGCACACCGTAAAGGACTCAAGTCAGTGGAGGCATGGGTGGCCGTATTCTTGTCAAACTCCGTCCACGGGAGGAGACGGGACCAGTTATCCTGATGCTCATTCACAAAACAGCATAAATAGAGTTCCAGTGATTGGTTCACTCTTTCAGCATCCCCCTGCCCCGTTTGGCTGTGGGTGATAGGATGAGGAAAAGGACAAGGATATACCAATTTCAGTATAGAAACCCCTCCAGAAACATGAGATGAACTGAGGGCCCCTGTCAGAGACAATATTGATGGGTATGCCATGAAACAGGAATACCTCTTTTGCGAAGACTTCCACTAATTGAGCAGCAGAGGGAAGCTTCTTCAGCGGCACAAAGTGAGCCATCTTAGAGAACCTATCGGTCACCATCAGAGTGACCGTGTCACCCTCGGAGGGGGGAATGTCCACTATAAAGTCTATGGACAGGTGCATCCAAGGCATCTTGGGTGCTGAGAGGGGCATAAGGAGACCAGGTGGCTTGCTTGTGGGAGACTACAAAAAAAATACAACACAAAGAAGGCTTCTAAATTGCCTATCTAAGAATAAATATGGGGATTTAGTTCCACCATATGGCCATATGATGTTAAGCCCACCACTGCTTTCAAAGTACCCCAATGTTGGTGGGGCCTACGCTAAAATGTGGGGGACAAATTAAATAGTACTAGTGTTAAAAATAAAGTATATTATTAAATAATTAAATAATACACTTTATTTTTAACACTAGTACTATTAGGCAATTTAGAAGCCTTCTTTGTGTATTTTTTTGTAGTCTGAGTGCGCCGCAACTATTTTTTTCATGTATGAAGTTTGGTCACCTTTCATGCAAAATGCAGGTCTTGGGTGTGCCCCCAATCCTTTCTCTGTACACAGTATATTTGGACCAGATTCCTTTTGGTGTAAAGCACCCCGCCCAGGCCCCCCAGCTTCAGAGGCCCCTTTAGAGGTGGCCACAGGTGTGTATATATAAGAGGAGTTTTCAAAAGTCAAGTCACTTTTATTATTTTCTCCATTCAACACAGATATCATCTGCAATAGTGAGTATATTCATTCTAGCACTAACACTTTAATTGTTTAGTTTTAACACTGTTTTTAATTGCTTTCATCACTTTATTTTTGTAAACTCACTTTGCTCTTACAAGGATTTAATAATACACTTTATTTTTAACACTAGTACTATTTAATTTGTCCCCCACATTTTTGTAGTCTGAGTGCGCCGCAACTATTTTTTTCATACAAATACAATTTTTTCTAACTATAAAACAAGATTGAAAAAGTAGAAATGGATACTAAACTCATTAAAGTAAAAAAAAAATATCAGAGATAAACATGTGATGTGGAAATCAAAACAATCAATAAATTGATTATCTTTAGTATCTGCCCCCAGCCAAATTAAAGAAATAGTGCGTGAACGCTCCTGAAGTAAATCACACCAGACACAAGTTTCAGGTTAATGAAAACCTTGAGGAATGTTTATTCGGGGGGGACTACATGTCCCTTATAAAGCAAAGTTACATTATAAGCATTGTCAGAGATAACATGAATAATACATCAAGAATTGATTAGGTGTTAAGTGGTTCATTTAATGCTCTGCCTACTGGGGGTGAGGTCACTGGTATCTTGGAGGTCTCCCTCTTGTTAATGAGGGTGTTAGTCGATGTTGAAGGGAAAACTCCCTAGCGGCCATTTTAGGTAAATCACATAGAAAGTTGAATAATGCTGATTGCAGTTATGTTGAGTAAATAGGCATTTTACTGATATAAATTGGGTTAATATTTTTGTCCACAACAGTCCCCCCTTAAAATGACTATTTACGAAGAGAAGGAAGGAAAAGACAGCCAACTACTAGCTTACCCTAATAATGTCCCTAATTGGCTGCAGCTCATCTGTCTTAACAGGCCTCGAACACTTCACTGCGCAGGTATCCTGCAGTGGCTATCCCACTACATCTCCTGCGTCAGACTTTTGCCCATAGAGACAGACGCTATCCCTATACTGTCCCTAAATAGTAGCAGTAGTTGTCTGTTTGAAGTGATGGGACTGAAGAGGTGTGTGAGGAGTGTCACAGTCCATGTCATCAGCATCTTGATGTAGGAATGTAGGTGTAGTGCGGTCAATGGTCTGATCTACAGTCTTTTGTAGATATTTTTGCACATAAGGTATTACACAAGTTAGGAAAAGGAAGAAAATCATTACAGTAAGAACTGCCATACCTATTTGGAAAAGAGTCCTTTGCCATCCACTCATCCACCCAAACCATCTGTCCCATGAGTTGGGGACTCACAAATTTTTCTTTAATTTGTCACAAAGATTTTCTAATTTCTCTATGGCCATGGTTACCTTACCATTAGGACCTGTATTGTCCGGAATAAAAGTGCAGCATGTCATAGTGTCAGGGAGTATCTTACATACGCCCCCCTTTTCTGCTAGAATCATGTCTAAGGCTATTCGATTCTGGAATGTCATTTGAGAGGTAGTCTGTAATTGTTCTACTAAGCCCTGTAGGGCATCTCGAGTATAGTTGACAAATCGTTGCTGGTTATAGTAAATGTAATTGATCCAGTTAACATTTTTATTAGCAGTGATGAGTGGAATCAAGGATTTGAATCCTGCTGCCACTTCATCTCGGCTTTAAACTCATTCGGTACCCCCCTAGGTACTCCAATGGCATCTATATATACATGTGGGTCAAAACTATCTCGGATGGAGGTTTCTCTTTTTACTCTAAGATACGTCGTATGTGATGAATCGTACGGGCCTTGGTGGTTGTCAGGGAAGATATGTATGGACATGATAACTTTAGTCAGGGCACACTCTCCCCACCATAAGCCAGTCATCTTTGATCTGAGTTGCATGTCACCGCATAACTAATAAATATCTCCCACAGATTTAATTTGATTTGCTAACAAGGAAGTGGGAGGTTTCCGAAAAATGGCACAGTAACCAGAAGGGAATTTGCCCACAAATTTACCTGTGGCTCCATGTATTGTATAGCAAGTGTAATTACCTGGATACACAGTGACTCCATCAGGTGGTCTGGTTTTTCCCTGGGTTATTGGGTAAGCCTTCTTCCAAGACTCACACGCTGATTAATTTACTACTGTTTGTGCATAGAGGTTCAAGAAACATGTCTCAACATCGGGAGGTAAATTTAAAGGCATTGTACCTAGGTGGGGTCTAGTTAGTTTTATTATGAGAGTTAGAATTGTACCTCATCCATTCAAGCCATAGGCTAGTATCTGAAAAACCAGTCTCCACAGCCATAGTGTCTTCAAATGTAGGATTGATGTGTGGTTTTAGGGGAGTTAATGGTCATGTGTGTTGAACCTACCCAGCCAGGTGATGTAAGCATGTTCTGTAAATAGAAGGTTCCCAACTTGTTATGTGAGCCACCCCCTTTCCAGTACATTCCCATTACGTATTCCCCAGCGTCACCTGGGCTGGGATGTTCTATGTTTAAGGTTAATTTTATTGGAGTAGACCCTGTTGGCTTACACAAGGTCATTCGATATAACAAAGGTTTCCCATGTCTGCCAACTCGGTCTAAGGCCCCATGGTCGGCCCGTATTCCAACCTGCCGCTTTCCATGAACTACAGTGATGTCCCCAATGGTCGTCCGTCACACAGATATATGGGTCCTTTTTATTTGGTATGTCTCTGTATATTGCTGAGTGTTGTGATTGTGGGAATGTACAAGAAACAATATCACAATAATCAAAAGTAAATGTAGCCATGTGTGTGTTTGAAGAGTTATACCAAAATGTGTAAACATGATTATCCTTAGTAATAGCAACTTGTTGGGCCTTTAAGAGGCCTAGCAGCAGACATAAGTATAAAAGGCTCATGTTTTTGTGGGATCCGCTTCCTCTGGATCAGGAAATTTCTTACAGTGTGAAGCGTATATCCAAGTATTCTTCCCAGCCAACTTTACCGAGGTAGATGTAGTCAATAGGACTTGGAATGGACCATCAAACCTTGGCTCAAGAGTGTGTTTTCTTAGAAACTTCTTCACCATGACCCAATCACCAGGTAGTAACTTGTGCGTGCCTGTGTTTGACTCTGGATCTGGAAGAGAAGAAAACACCTGTGCATGGATTTTGGTCAAAGCATGAGAGAGTGCAGTTATATAATCTACCATTGCATCTGACTGGAGTTGAAGTTGTTGTGGAAAGTAACAGCCTAACCTGGGTGCTGTCCCAAACAAGATCTCGTAGGGGGATAAGGTAAACCTTCCTCTTGGGGTGCATCTTACACTAAATAGTGCTATGGGAAGACTCTCCGGCCAGGGTAGGTTAGTTTCTTGTGACATTTTAAGCATTCTGGCTTTCAGAGAGCCATTCATGCGTTCTACCTTACCACTACTCTGTGGGCGATAAGGTGTGTGGAATGCAAGGGTCACCCCCAGTGCTGCCCAGATTTTCCTGGTCAACAATGGGGTGAAAGATGTACCCTGGTCACGTTCGATTACTTCGGGAACCCCGTATCTGCAGATAATTTTGGTAAGTAGGTTACATAGTTACATAGTTACATAGCTGAAAAGAGACTTGCGTCCATCAAGTTCAGCCTACCTCACATTTGTTTTTTGCTGTTGATCCAAAAGAAGGCAAAAAAAACCCAGTTTGAAGCACAATTTTGCAACAAGATAGGAAAAAAATTCCTTCTTGAGCCCAGAATGGCAGTCAGATTTATCCTTGGATCAAGCAGTTATTACCCTACATTGAAAGATTATATCCTTGAATATTCTGTTCTTGCAAGTATGCATCTAGTAGCCGTTTGAACATCTGTATGGACTCTGATAAAACCACTTCTTCAGACAGAGAATTCCACATCCTGATTGTTCTTACAGTAAAAAAAACATTTCCTTTGCCTTAGACGAAATCTTCTTTCTTCCAGTCTAAACGCATAGCCTCGTGTCCTATGTAAAGTCCGG